CGACCCACACAATGCACACGACAGTGACGCACACACACACACACACACACACACACACACACACACACACACGTGACACACACACACATAGACACGTACGCACCCACGCACACTCACACACACACGCCCTTACGCACGCACTCACGCGCACACTCACACACGCGCGCCCTTACGTACGCACTCACAGGCACGCACATATATACGTACGCCACACACGTACGCACGCACGCCACACATGCACGCATGCACGCACGCGCATACACGTACGCCAAACACGAACTCACACACGCACGCACGCACGCACGCACGTATCCACGTACACTAATACGCCAATACGTCAATTGATCGGAAACTGGCTTCGTCTGCAAGCGCTCACCGGCTACTACTAGTTATCATTGAGGAGCATTAGGGCCGCTGCCACCGATTTTTCGCATATATATAAACCTTTTTATTGTTGCTTAGAAATTTAGGAGATGTAAACATTTGACACTAATAAAAAAGTATATTCCGAAAGTTTGCATTTTGCATGTAAAGTAAAAAAAGTTCTGGTGCAAGCCCAAAGGCTAAGGGTGTATAATAACTATAGACTACCTGTAATATGCGCTTACAGTTTCCACACTCATTTGATTTTATGCTCCACGATAAAAACTCTCTGCAGAATCTTAGTTCTCGAAGATTTTTATGCAGTTTTCAGAGGGTTAAAATATTTGGACTTGGTACTTAAAAAAATGGACACGATACAGCACAATAGCCCGTTTCTGCAAGTGATAGGCATGATTTATTAAAACTCTGGACAACTGACTATAACTGTTTTTACTTTTCTTTTAGGCGTTATCCAAATAATCGAAACATCCTCCATGGGGCTCTAGAATGAAGGAGTGACACCGTCGTCTTCGCCAGACAAGTACAGATTTTCTCCATCTCATAGTGCAGATGTTGGCGCATACACATACACGCACGCACACGCACACGCACACAACGCGCACACATACACGCATGTACAAGCACACAACGCGCACAAACGCACACGCACACGCACACGCACACGCGCGCACACACACACACACACACACACACACACACACACACACACACACACACACACACACACACATACACACACACACATACACACACACACATACTCGCACACATGTACACGCGCACGCACATAAGTACCGTTACTGTAATCTAAAAGACTGTCTGTGCATTGTGACTAAGCTTGGTCTGTAATAACTGTTCTGAGCAGATATAATATGTAGATTTAGTCACATCACATTATGCTGTAGGCTTGTACTAATTATCTGATACTATTTCTCATTTAATTTGCTTTTCTTTTCGTTCTTACATTTCGATAGTCATTCGATTAAATTCGATAGCTTACTGATAGTGGTTGCATTTATTTTTCTATTATTTCAGAGCACTGTGTCTGGACATGCATTTCTTGACTTAGCTTAGGTTCAGTACTGAATAGAACTCGAGAACAACAATTCGTGGCATATTCTTACACCGTGTAAGTGAAGCTAAATGTGTGCTTGTTTAATGCAGCTAGTTTTGTTTCCCATGTATAATACCACAGTCACCATACTAAGGCAACGAATATTGTAAAAGTAAAATGAAAGCTTGCTACGATTTGCTACGGCTTCTGGTTATTTATAACGTCTACGTATAATACCACATTACACAACACAACGCGAAACCCCGTTCCTATAGAGACCGCACCACATATCATCGCAGTCATCTACGCATACATCATACGCAGCATCATCATCTACTAGGCTAGGCAGGACGGAAGAAATCGTAATAGATATAGCTGTGTATCGTGTGAAGATGAGCTGCGCAGACTGCTACGAGGGTAGGGTTCGCTGTTGATCGCTTTTGTGAATTGCTTGTTTGTGAATTTCGAATTGCGAGGCTGCAGGGTCAACATATCTATTATCCTTTACACGATTGTGTGACAAATAACCATTGCCTGTAGTGAGACTGACTAAAGTAAGCGTAAACAGATGCCGGCTGAATAAGACCTACTGTCGTCGATGTAATTCGTATATACCTGGTGCATGTGAGATTAATTGTAGACCTAATAATAACAGTAACCACAACCATAACACTATAACCCTATAATCTTATAAGATGTAACCACATAACCACCTAACCGCAATTGTAACTCCAACACTGCCAATTAACAACATAACGATGTAATGATACATTCGGCAATAGTATGTCTTTTTCAGCCGGATTCACAGAAGAAGCCAGTTGATTGGGTTGGGCGGGTCAAGAGCGAGCGTATAGCCTCATGTGTTCGAGCATACATATTAGAGCGCGATAGATAACGAAGTAGACGGGCAATAATGAGTGACAATATGCAGTAAAAATTAGGATAATAGTAAGTATAAATGTATCAGTGTGAAACTGGCATTCCCCGGTATACATTTAGAATGACAGTAATTTCTCAATGTCGGTGTGCAAATAAGATAACATTCTATATTATACATACATATATATATATATATATATATATATATTATACATCCGATATACCATTGGCTTAATAGCAATTACAAGGTATTAGTGCGCAAATAATTACATGGCATTGCGCGACATACATTTAAGATAACAGAAATGAGAAAATATGATATCGGTGGCCAAAAGGTAAATATTCCACGTTAGGCATTTGATATTAGTAATTACAAGAGATACTGAAAAAAGACTACGACATTCAACGGTACACATTTAGGATAAGAATTACAAGCTATCGTTATGCAAACAATTAATATAATATTCCGCAGTAGCATGCGTTTGAGATCATAGTAGAAGGAGATCGGTGAACAAAATACTTAACACGACATTACGCGGTATACATTTAGAGTGATAGTATTTACAAGATATGATATCAGTGTTCGATTAATTAACATGATATTCCTCGTTATGAATTAGGGATAATAGTAACTACAAGATATCAATGTGTAAATAGTTGACACAATAATCTAATATTTATTTAGTATGATAGTAATTAATAACTATTGGAATGCAGATAATTATAGACATTTAGTGGTATACATTTATATTAATAGTAAATACGAGAACGTATTTGGGAATTAATCAACACGAAGTCCGCGGTATAGATTTAGAATAGTCGCAATTTAAAGATATTGGTGTGCGAAAGAATGAATTCCATAATGAATTAATTAATTAATACGACATTCCGCGGTATATAGGTCTACATTTAAGATATAATAGCAATTGTAAAAATAAAAAACGACTCCGCGGTATACATTTGGCATTAATAGTAATTACAAGCTATCGGTATGCAAATCATGACATTTAGCGTTATTTTTTCACAATAATAGCAATTTCAAAAGGTTAATGTAAAAATAATTACAACATTCCGTCGTATGTATCTAGGATAATACAGTTATTACAAGATACCAGTGTTTGCATAATTAACATGACACCCCGCAGTACATATTTCCGATAATTGCAATTACAAGTGTTTACTGTGGAAATAATTAACACAACCTTTGCCTGTATATATTTAGGATGATACCAATTGCAATATAGCAGTTCAGAAATAATTAACAAAACGTTGCGCTGTATACCTTATGCTTACTACTTTATATAGTAACTACAAGATTTCATTGTGGAAATAATTAACACGACGTTCAGATCAGTTCAGATTCAGATTCTTTATTTTAGCACATGACTTAGTTAACAATACAGCAGATGTATGATAGTTATAACGTAAGATTACAAAAAAAAAGTAAACTTACTAACAAATGAGTGCTGTGAGGGTCAAAGTAGCACTAGGCTTTCGAGTCGACCCCCACATAAATTCCGATACACATTTAGGATGACAGTAATTACAAACTATTAGTGTGAATACAATGACATTCAGCGGTATATATTTAGGATAATAGTAATTACAGGAATGATTTATATGAAACTAATTACCACGAAATTCCGCAATATGCATTTAGGATAATCGCAATTACAAGATATCTGTGCACAAACAGTTGATATGAAATCTCGCGGCTAACATTTTGATTAAAATGTTTACAAGATATCACTGTTGACCTAACTCCACACGAATGAATTATTTCACACGGCATTCCACAGTACACATTTAGGATAATCGTCATTACAAACTATCGGTGTAAATTTAATTTTTATGACATGCGTTTATAATAGAAATTAAGAAATCGGTGTTAAAATAATCAACACGACGGTCTGTCTACTTTTAGTGTAGTCATCACATAGTTCATCAGTGTGAAAATTGATAACATGAAATTTTGACATACATTTCGGACATTTTTAATCACAAGATGTTGGCGTGGAAATAATTAATTAACACGACATTCTGCAGGATACGGCTATTATATAGTAATTTTTTTTACAATTGATCGGCGTATGATATTTCGCGGTGCGCGTTCAGGATAGTAGTAATTGCAAGATATTAGTGCGGAAATAATTACGTGGAATTGTGTAGTAACGATACATTTATAAGATAATAATAATTTCAAGTTGGAAGATAAGTATATATATACATACAACATGCGTCGGTATATGTTCTTAAGGTAATGGGGATTTAATTAATACGAAATCAAAATTTCGCAGTACATATTTGGGACGGTCACAACTGAAATAAAACAATCGGAAAATTGTAGTTGGAATATCACTGTGCAAATGGTTAGTAAGATTTCCCGTTGTATACTTTAGGACAATAGATCAGTACACGAACGACACTGTGGAATTTATGATAATAGGAGTTATAATATATCGATGTACAAATAATTAGTATGACATTTCTCTACGAATAGCTACACGCATGCATAATAAGCGCACCTTATCAGTGTAGAAATAACGGACATGTAGAAATAAAAACCCTCACCATGCCGATCTCCTGCGGTGTTGTCAATTGCAGCAATCGGTATCCGAAAGAGGCACACAGCTTTTTTAGACTACCTATTGTGATCACAATACAAGGTAAAGTGACGAAAGAAATGTCAGACAGGCGAAGACGTCGTGTCTGTTCAGCTCATTTCATATCAGGTATGTAACATATTGTTTTGCTATGCAATGTAAAATTGTCGATCATTTTGTTTGTAGAAAGCTTGACTATCACTATTTCTTCCTACCTATTTCTTCCTAGTACAGGGACTGTGTAAACTGTTCAAAATTCAAATATGTAAAGTAGGTTGCACAACAGATAATCGCTGACCATGCAGGCAAATACAAACTTCAATAAAATAACTTCCTATACTAATAAAATACAAGATAGAAACTATGTGTCTTATACTACTTGAGAGCAACTGCAGTTTAGTAACAAACTGTTCAGTCACACTTCGTCATGTAAACCCAAAGAGTGACAAAGACGTGTTGTTTTGGTGGGCGAATTTGGGAATTGTTATCTTACATGTAAACAATGACTCAGAAACTCACGCAGTGACACATACACTAATTGAATGAATAAATAAATAAAAAAATACACATTTTCGAATGTAAATTATACATACTTGTATTTGTAATGTTTTTTTTGTTCCCACATATTGAGTGTCAGTACTATTTGTAATATATATTTGACTTTGTTTTAGGTAAGCCGTCTGACTTGTACAAAGATACAGATCCGGATTGGGTTCCTACGGTGAACATGGGATATCCCACGAAAGATTTGGACACCCCGATAGTGAGACACGACCGGCTGAAAAACAGAAAAGAGAACATTAAAAAAAGGGATGCTGCAATGAGCCTTGTCGAGTTGGGAACATTTTTTGACATAAGCGGATGTGATGCTGAAGTTGATATCGATGCCGACACCGAGCCCACCGACTTGGAACTGGCCCAACTGGAAATATCTAGACTGTCTGGTAAACTACAGCAAGCAAACACAGAAAACGTCAGGCTACAAAATGATAACATCAAACTCAATGAAGAAAAGGAGAGTCTGACAGGTGCCGTCCATAAAATGAATGCGTCAACGCCAGTTGACTTCGCCAACGATGATGGTAAAGTACGGTACTACACTGGTTTAAAAAGTTTTGTGACACTAATGGCGCTTTTCAATCTGGTGTCGTCTGAAATAAGTGAAGCAAAAAATTCGTCTTTGAGCAAGTTCCAAAAAATGATTATCACACTTATGCATCTACGACTGAACCTGTCAATTGTGGACCTTATGCTAGGGGCACACGAGCGTATTTTATCGCCCGATCGCGGCGATTAAAATCGCCAGCGAATTTAATCGCCCGATCACGAAGGGGCACACGTAGCGAATTTAATCGCCCGATTTTAACATCACATGATATCAACAACACGTCCGATTGGTTTAGAAAAATCGATCGGGCGACAAAATACGCCGGACACGGGCACACGAGCGAATTTGCCAGCGTAAATAACCGCCGGCGTAAATAATCGCCCGAAAATATCTAACATTTTGGATACGGGCGACTCGTGCGGGCGATTAAAATCGGCTTCGACGTGAACGGGCACACGGGCGAATTTTTCGAGCGATTTTCAAATTCGCGGCGATCGGGCGATAAAAATCGCTCGTGTGCCCCTACCTTTAAGCCTGCCGCACACGCTGTGTTTTGTGCTGCGCCATCGGCCACGCGTGGCT